CTGAAAACACTTAATGCTGAAACCAAGTAACCGCTTGGCTTCACAATAAAAAAAAGTAAGAGAATAAGCTGAGAATATGTAAAGTCACTGAAAAATATAATTAAAAATACTATTTTTTCTGGGAAAACTCCTCTTGTCAATTTTTTCAAATGTTATTTCTACATACTGGGTGGGATCACATTAGTTGGTATGGTGGTCATTATTCATTCCTAGGTTGCTGACAGTACTAATGCTGCCCTTCTTTCAAAAACTGTAACACATTTAGGAAGTTTAATGTGGAATATGTAAATTGGCTTTTTAGCAGTAAAGCATGATTCTTAGCAGTCTCAAGAGGTGCCAGTTAAGGTCAGTGCATTTAGTCTGCCAAGGTGAAAATGCAACCGCAAACACAAGTTTTACCCTTCAAAGGGCTTATCAGAAGGACACAGCTGTTGTATCAAGCAGAAGAGAAATATTTAAACCTGGAGGCAACACATAATTAGGTTTAAATGACCTTCAAAAGCTACAAGTTCAAAAAACTAAGCTGCAATGCAAAAATACTGTATTTCATTATTTCTTAACTAATATAAACCAATACTGTGTTGTGCAGGGAGTCACAGGAAGACCTGGACATCCCGGTCCTGCAGGGTCAAAGGGCGAAAAGGTATTTCTTCTTTTTAGTCTTGGTAAAGAACTGGGAAGGTTTTGTAGTTCCATTATGCTCCTATGGTTTTGGGTTGGGTTTATTTTTTTTAACATAGAGTGCAAACAAGAACTTCACATACATTTTCAAATTAATTTTTATTTGTGTCTTAATACAAGTACTTTCCCCAAACAATGCTGTACATATGGGCTTATAATTTGAAGCATAGTCCTTGTGGTGTATGTAAGTTGCAGAGAAAGTTCTCTAAATAGGACGTATTATATAAAATTTAGGAAAGTGAAAATACGTTTGTGAAATAGTATATGACTAGTTACCACTTGCTCTACTTCTTATTCTTTTACTACTATTTTAGTCAAAAGTAATTGCATACTTTAAAAGTGCTTCACAAGTACTGAAAGGTATTGAGTCTGTTATTCAGCAAAAATATATAGGCTTCCTTTATACTTAATTTACACAGTCATAGTACTGCTTTTTATCAGTGTTTTATGTGCTCTTTCATCAGGCACTCAATATTATCTGTTATAACTAAGAGGTCAAATTCATTTCTTGAGCACCTCAGTACAGCCGACACAAATGTAGTTTGCTGCAAAATACTTTCTGGTAAAAGTTCTCCATTTTGTGTATGAATACGCTTTTCTGATGGGTTTTTTTCAGCTTTAGCCTGGAGTTTTCCAGGCATAGCACTGCCACATCAATTTATATGATCCTACCAATACTCTACGAAACCTTGACTCTGGTATGAGAAAGAAAAGTATTTTGTAAAGCTCTGAAATTATGTCAGTATAAAATCTGATTGAGAGCTGTCTCCCTGCAGAGCATAATAGCAAAAATTTACCACACTTACTTCCTTTTTTTATGCAACCAAATGCAAATCACTTTGTTAGTTCCTTGTTTACAATTCACACACGGGTGGGAATGAGAAGCCACTGCTCTATAACTAGTGTCTCATCAACCAAAAAGGGTAAAAGTCAGATGGCTGAAGAGTGATGAAGTAAACTAGAATATAGCCAGAGTCATTTCCTCCTCCTTCCTTCATCTGAGGAACATGTTTGAGAAATGATCATATAATATGTTTTCTAAAGTACGGTACTTTTATTCCCTGTGAAGTAGTCCAAATCACTCTTTGGAGGATGACAGTTTCTATCAATTAGCAGGACCATTTGGAAATTATCCTAGTATAAACATTTAATTGCAATTATATTTTTCTGGTGAGCTAATTATTGCCATTGAACACTTGGCTTGACTTTGCCACCTTAATGATTTTAAATATGCAGCCTAAGTGTCTCTGACATTTGTTTAATAAGGTCCAATGAAGTCAGTAAAAATTCTGGCAGACTTGTTCCAAATTATACAGGGTTTTTAACTGAATCATAATGATGAGATCTTGAAAAGATCTTGTTTGGGAAATTTGATGTTGAAACCTTTGTAACTCTACACCGCTTAGAGACTCCACCATTCTGCTGGGGCAAAAACTCAGAAGCTTGTTATCTTTAATATAAACAATTCAGTGCCTGTCAGCAGAACAAATTACAGATACAGGTAACCACAGATGAATATTTTACAGTAAAAACCAAAAAGTTATTCATATATCTCTTAATAAAGAAGATCTTTATTTTTATTCAGCGTGTTTCTAAATAAACTGAACTTCTGAAACAGTAGCTTTTCTTTATTTACCTGTGAATTATCAACTGAAGATTGGCTTTTGCAAAATAATACACAAAGCATAAAATGAATATTAAATTTTATCTGCCAGTTGCTTAAAAAATCATATTAACAAGTCTTTTTTTTTTCTTCCTCTCCCTCCCGGTGTATATGAAGTGTTTCACAACCCAGGTTGCCACAAGGATGTTACTACACATAAAGTATCAAGTAACTAACAAAATGAAAACTAGTGTAAAGTAATGATTAATAACTTGCCTAAAGCTTAAGCAGGAGCTAAGCAGGAAAATTTATTCTTGCTATTACCTGCTCATATTGACTACATCTCTTCTTTATTGTCATTATAGTCATCATAGCTTGGGTATAGAATAGATCTGGACATCAGTTAATGTAAATAAGTTCTGTGAATCTCTTGCTGTACTAGGGTAGTGAAGGTTCTCCTGGGAAACCTGGACCACCTGGGCCTCCGGTGAGACATTTTGTTTTATATTTTGAATCTTATATTAGGAGCAATATACCTGTGAGTAAAATGTAATATAATATAAAGAATTGACTATCAGTCGAACATGTATTAACAGGGCAGGGAGACAACAAGGTGTTTTAGTATAGGTTCATGTACTTTTTTTTTTTTTTTTGGTGATTCATCACTGAGTAAGCTCAGGTTACTAAAGCCATTGTAGAAAGTTGGTCAAATGAGTTAACCTTAGTGTCCAGTGTTATTATACTAATTTAGACAGTTTAGGTACCTGAGATTAGGGAACCTAGGGAAAGTCCATGGAGCTCACTGGACTCCAAATTAACTGGAATAGCACCTAAGACAAAATTTATTCTGAAGGATTATAGTAATAAATATCAAAATGTAACATACACTGAGATTTACAGGTTCCTGGTTTCATAATTCAAAAAAAGTCTCAAGCTCCATTGGTATGTATCTTCTGTTCTTACTGAAATATCTGGAATCTTTGAAAAAGTCATTGAGAACAAAAATGATACTACAGCTTTGCTGAGCTATGGGCCTTGAACAGGGCAAGAGTTCTGCTTTTATAATTCATAATTGTGGTGCTTACTTGGTTTTTATGTTTTAAAGGGTATGCCTTACAATGAAAGAAATGGAATGAGCAGCTTATATAAACTGCAGGTATTTGTTTCTAATGTTTTGGGGTTTCTTTCAATCACCACCTGATTTTGGCCCAACTCAACTTTTAAACTTGCTGTTACAGGGAGGTGTGAGTGTCGCTAGTTATCCAGGTCCACCAGGACCTCCAGTAAGTATTAACAGAAACATAATTTCTAATAGTTAATTAACATAGTAACAGAGGGGTTGGTTAGTTGCATGCAGTTTTGGTAAGTGGCATGCAATTAGATTTTGTATGTGAGAGACGGAAAAAGTAAGGATATGATTGTTATGTAGTAAATGATAATGTGGTTTTCTGTGTTTATCAAGCATTTTAGCCCATTTTGGAGGGTAGTTTGTTTTGATTTAAGTATTTCACCCTAGCAAGTAAAGGCTGCAAAAATGGCACATAATTTGGTATTGGGCTCTTTAGTGAAAGTATCCTAATATCTTAAAATGTGTAATGCAGTATTTATAGTTAGTGATGGCATAGTTAAGTAATGGACTAAATTTGGTGCCAGAAGTGAAAAGCTCATGAATTCTGACCTCAGTTCTGCCCCTGATTCACTGCATGTAGCTACAGTGCAGAAAAAAATGTATGAAAATGAGAATTATAGAGTGCCAGTAATACAGGACTGGTGTCTTCCATGCTGCAGAGTGCCAATGCGCCACCTTCCAGCTGGGCAGTGTTGCTTTGGTTCTGTGGAGCCAAAGATGCTGTGCACTTATTTAGGTCCTCTTTCTTGTTAGTGTCATAGGCAAGTTCTACTGTTTTAAGATGATTGTCATTTTGGTAACCACATAAAAACATTGTCACCATCAGCGAGGACTCTGTCCTTACATTCTGTGCTGTTTGTAGTCACGGGCTCGCACTGGGCCACAGAGCTATTTTCCTCTGTATTCTGGAACAAAAAAACAAGAATCAAATATTACTAAGATTTTGTACTAAATTGATCAGCTGAGAGGGCTGGACTCAATGTGGTGCATGTAGAATCAATATTAGCAGAGTATATTCATAATGCAGTAAAACAAAAAATACCATCTTATTGTGTAACCCTACTCTTTTTTAAGTGTTTTTAAGTTTTTACTTCTTTGGTTTTTTTGCAGGGTCCAAAAGGAGATCCTGGCACAGTGGTATGTATGTATTTTTTGGTCACGATAGAGAATTCCCCAACTAGTTCAACACCTGATCCTAGTCACGAGGGTGGAAGAGTCCATTAACGTTCTTTAGCAGGTCACTTAACTCCTGCAGAATCAGTGCATCTGAAAAAGCCTTTTTAATTGCCAGGCTTGTGAATTTTGCAATTTCTGGTAAATAGTTCTAAGTGATAATATAATGAATGACTGAACATAGTAGTAACTGCTTGTGGATTCAACTCTGCTGAGCTGTCCCTGGATATATCTAAGACTAGAGAATGTGACATGAAGGTAGAAAATACCTTATTGTTCTCAACATTAAACTTGAAAGTGATAAGGGAGAAAGGACAGTGTGCTACATCATGCTAGCTAGTAACAACCAGAAGTTGATGTTTTCTTTGGAAATGGCATGACAGTTAGCACTTCGGGCAGTATGAGTGAACCGGGATGAGTACCATGTGTCAGCTAATGGAAATTGATGAGAAGAATTTGCTGATAAAAGTAGTAGAATCTGGGCTAGTTAGGAAAGAAAATTGTGCCCAGTCAGACTGCGTTCCCCGTGATCTCCTGATGAATTGTTTACTTGACAAAGATCAGGAAACCTTGAAAAATATTGGAGAGATCATTTTTGAAACAAAATCCCATCCCTTCCAGAAAGTAAAGAACAGCTATTTCTGCTACTAATGAAACAAATTACTACTTCAGAGAAGTGCTTACAGAGTTCCTTGACACATTCAGGAGTTCATTGAACCACCAAGAAGCTGATGCTTGACCTCTCCAACTGCTGTCCTGTTTTCAAATTGTTAGTCTTGGGCAAAATAAATAAGGAAATGGTGCAGCCAGTGTCTTGGATGCCTGGTAGTAAAGAATCAGGTCAGAGCACAACACATAGACTGTTTAAATGTCACTAGAGACTGGCCTCGTCTGAACACATCAGGCCACAGTATTTGGAAGACAACGAGTACCTTCTCCTGTTGAAGGGTTCTTGTCTTGGGTCCATATCATAGAGTCTTTCTGTTAAGTATCAGTGTGAAACTACTGAGAAATGTCTCTGCTCATGAAAGCAGCATGGCAGTACCGTTTAGTTGTATCTTTTTTTCCTATCAGTGCAGGCACAGTATCTACACAAAAATAGCAGCAGAATTAAGTGGAGCTAGCTCAGACTAACCCAGCCAAGACCAAAGTGGTATGGGAAGGAAGCACCTGTAAGAGCTGGCTAGGACTTCATCTATCATGAAGGTGCATAATCTCCACTCAGCCAACCTTTGCAGGGCCTGGGACAATGTTTAATTCTTCACCAAGTGTTAGCAGAGAGCCAGCTATGTGAAAAACTGAACTTTGATCTATGAACAAATGTGATAACTGTGCTCCTCAAGGACAGTAAGAAGCCCAAAACAGAACGCCTCAGCACTCACAGCAAAACATGGAGTTGTGAGATAGTTTCCTAATAATCTATTTTCAAAAAAAGTCACACACCTTGTTTTGTTTTACCATGATGCCCAGAAGCTGAATAAGTCTTTCTTTACCAGTGTCCACTTCCTACTCAGGAAGCAGCATCTCCCAAACAGAGTTTAGGTGTGGAAAGTGAGAACTGTACGAGACTTCATGAAATACAGGCAGGAATTTGCTGTGGCTTTTGATGTAACTGAGAATTGCTGAAATACTGGAATTGTTTGCTGTAGCTTAAATCTCTGTGGTAAACTCGATTTTCTTTAAAAAAAAAAAAAAAGAAAATAATTAAAAGGGCCTCCCCACTCTACACATTAAACTGATTTCTCCAGTGAAACATGTTTCTGGTTTTATTTCAAAATTTGAAGACCTATGCAGGGACCTAATCTGTGTGTCTCTTGCTGCAGAGTAAGCTTTGTTTAAGGAACAGAGCACAGAATTGCTTGGAGGTTGGTTCTCTGGTCAGGGCTTTACTGCCTGGGGGTGCTTTAGGGCTGACCTTGGCTTGTAAGAACACTGGAGAGGAGTCTTCTGGATTACGTTTTTCATCGAAATTAAAAACGTTGATCACAGTGCCTCTGGGAAAAGCTTAATTTGCAGATCAGTAAAACAGGGCATAACAAAAATTGTTCACCTTATAACTGGTTAGTTGGTTTACTAATCTGAAGTTACACAAACATTTATCGTGTGGAGTACAGAAATTCTAATGTGTGCAATCCTTTTTAATTAAAAAAAAATAAAATCAGGGAGACCCAGGACCAATGGGATTACCAGGACTGGAAGGACTGCCAGGGGAAAAGGTAGGACTCTTAAAAAGAACTCATGGCTCCTTAGGGGCAAACTAAATCTGCAGCTAAATGTTTCCTGAAACCTTGTTTTATTTTATTTTTTTTTCTTTTGGTGTGTGTGTGTAAGGTAATGTTTCTGTGTGTAAAATATTTGCACGTTTATCTGTGTTTCCTTTTTTTGCTTTACTGCGGATCTAAATCATATACTCACCCAACATAAAATTTCGTTTTCCAAAAATGGAAAATTATCTAGGAAGTCTTGTAATGCTTTGCTTTCTTAACTTGGCAGAATATTACTATATACTATATAATGTATACTGTATATAGTATATATAACTATATTAGTAATATAATTAACATGGTCCTAAGTATGGTCAATAGTTCTTGTTCTCTATTGAACATCATCTTATGCTTACAATCTGTCTTGTTCTCAGACTCACAGCACAGCTACAGATCTGAAAAGAAGTTTCTACCTGAATTAGCGTAGGCCTTGTGCGTGCAAGATTTCCATGCAAAAATTAGACTATTCCAGATGAATGTAAAAATACAGAAAAGAGTAGAAACAGAGGGAGAGACTGATTCCCTACAGTTCCTGCTGTGTTGCATCCTGTTCCAAAGTGAGCAAAAATCTCTTTTACCAGACTGTTGCTCATTGATCTAAAAAAGGCCCCTTTTTTCTGTTTTGCTTTTCTTGCACTCCGTACTGTGTGTATGATGGCACCATAGCACATCCTGAACTGTATCACATTCTCCAGCTCCTTCCTGTAGTTCAAGTCTGCATTCCAGTGCTTGGAATTGATCCTTTCCTTCAGCTGGTCGCATGTTTCAGCCTTTCGCTTACCTAGTTATGGAGGCTGTTTTAGAGAAAAGCTTGTCATGAAATGCCAAAAATTTCAAGATTTTGGTATTCATTCCTAAATGTGGCAAAATACAACAGATTCAGCAAATAAATGGAAAAATCTGTAAGTATGTTTTCTGTCAGTGAAAATGCTTTAATTTTTCCCCATATCTTCTGAATTTAAGAAGAAAAAGGAGTAATTTTTTGGAAGATGGAATATTTATTCAGCTTTTTGAGTTACATGTTATTCAATGACTTCATACAAAATTAGTTGACTGAAACTTATTTTCCATCAAAAGGCAATATAAATTGAGAATTTTCTCTCTTAATATCACTGTGCATCACTCCTACCTGTGCAGAGAGTGAGGAGTGACAACATCTAAGGTAGGTGTCTATACCAGATGTTTAAATTACATGAGATGATTCTTGCTCTGGAAGGCTACAATTTACAAGCAATTAAAGACTAGTCTGATTTCAGAATGAGCAAACACAGGGAGATATTACAGGTCTAAGTGAAACAAAGTAGGGACAAGAATTAAATAAAGGAGTAAGCAATGGAGCAGATCATATATACAAGCTGAGTGAGTATTTGGCCCTTTCCCAAAGTAAAAATATCCTTTCCCTAACTAAATTTGGTAAAAATTCCACATTTCTACTGCAAATAAATGAACAGAATTCCAGAGTCTGCCTGCCAGTCCCAACAGTATAGTGCATGCTGGTTTTTAATTTAGAGCTATTCTGTACATCTGTGTAGCAGAATGCCATCTTCCACAGACATTGTTGGCTGTAATTTCATGAACTGGTGTAAGAACTTTGTGTCCTCAGGGTAGAAAGTCCCTTTCCCTCACCTGTGCTGGCACAGTGGTTCGTGCAGCCATGCTGTGAATCATGTTGCTGAAAGGACCAGAGTAACCCTTAAAAGAAAAAAAAAATTGCAAGGGAGATGTTAGAAATTTCTGGCTTCCCTGTCATAGACAGCTTATAGGGGTAACACCACAATACAGGTTCTGGGTCCAGAATAACCTCAGGGACAGAGTGCAATGCTCCAGCCAGTATGCCCTGCTACAGATGCTCAGAGCTCAAGTGTTCCTCACTGGCGTTAAGTGACTTCTTTTGGCCTCCAGCATTATCATTGCACTATCTGAACAAGATTATGAGAATGAAACAAATCAGTGCTAGGTATAAGAACAGAAACCACAAATCCCAACATCTTCTGGGTCTCTTCTGCACAGCAGAACGTGGCTGTAGCTGTGTTGGCGGAGCTTTTCCAAAACAGCTCCAGGTAACATAAACTCATCCCACAAAAATATTCTTCTGTTAGTATGGCTTTAACTGTGCTGGGACTTTTCTGACATGATTATAGAAACCAGGAGCCTGATTTTTTTTTTTTTTTCTGACATTTTTGACCAACGTTATACTAGCAGAATGTGGTGTTACAGATAATACACGTCAGCAGCGGGTTAGGGCAAATCTCACTGTGTTTTAGCAGTTTTAGAGTTTTAGCACTGGTGAGCTCCGTCTGTCTGGTTTGGGTTGTAGTCCTCTCGAGAGAAAGGTGAATTTGTGCCCATAACGCATCAGCTCCAGCAGAAAAGCTGTTGTCTTAGCATAAAGCATAGATGAAGGTGGCTGTGTGCTAAAGGAGAAACTGCTCTGAAAGGATCATGGCGCACCCAAATCGAGGATGCTGACTTGCAGGAAATGGGTGACTGGGTAGCAGGAAGGCAAAAACTTCTTTGAAAGATACATCGTAAATATCAGAATCATAGAACGGTTTAGGTTGGAAGGGACCTTAAAGATCATCTAGTTCCAAACTCCCCTGCCATGGCCAGGGACACCTTCCACCAGACCGGGTTGCTCAAGCCCCATCCAACCTGGCCTTGAACACTTCCCGGGATGGGGCACCCACAGCTTCTCTGGGCAACCTGTTCCTGTGCCTCAACACCCTCAGGGATAAATATGGGGATCTTGATATGGTAGTGAGTTACCCTATGTGAATTTTCATTGTCATGACCACAAATTATAACTATTTGGAAAACTACAGATAAGTCAGGGACTTCCCATCCCTTTTGAAGGAAGGCCTCAAACAGAGTATAAGGGGTCGCATGGAAATTACGACATTATACAAGAGGACCTAAACAAAGGATTTAAGTTACTTGCTCAAGTCTGTAAAATGATTCAGTAGCAGAGCTAAATATTAGCTTTTAGGAGATCCTGGCTCTTGTCCTCATTTTCAGTTCACCGAATAATCCTTCCTCAGGTTTTAATGGGAATCCACAAACAAATTTCTGGTTTGAGTGTTACCATTTACGTATACGTTTATCTTTTCTTCAGGGTGACCGTGGACCAGCTGGCACACCAGGAGTAGCAGGGACACCGGTATGTATATTCATTAAAGAAAATTCACTTTGTTAGAAGCTGAAAAAACAGGTGAAGCAAGGTGCTGAGCTGTAATCTCAATCACTGTTTGTGGAATGCCAGCGCTTGGCTAATGCTTTATAGGCAGATGTGAAAATGATGTGTTTTTCCTAAAGAGATTAGAGTTTTAATACCACTGAGGGTTCATATTATTATTAAAATGACAGGAGGGGATGGTGTGAATACATGATAAAGCTGGAATTTGAAGCTGCATATGCTTAGTTAAGAAAGCATATGAGATTCTTCTCATTGCCTCAGTTTAATATAGATAAAGACATTTTCTGTGTTCCTGGGCACGCACAAATTTGTGAGCATCTTTCTACCACAAAGGAAAATTATGAGTGTTAGTTATTGCAGTCTACAAGGGTCTGCATATCAAGTCGATCAAACATTTGCTTTAGGGGAATGCTTTGTCAGCTATTTACATATGGTATTCAGAGAAGTTTCTGAAAGTCATCCAGAAACTTTGTTGTAGATGAAAATAAATGTAACTAATGATAAATTGAAATGATAATTATTCATTTGTGTTCTTAAAGGAAATGAAGACTTTTCTTTAGATTGCATTCACAGTTTAATAAAAAAGTTTATCCATATTTCAGGAGGCAATATGGAGTTATTTATATGCAAATACATTTATTATTAAATTTGAGCAGCTACCAATCCATTCAGGAGCTGTTTTTAAATTATAAATATGGGCTTTGTGAAATAAAGAGAAGTTTGTGTCTATGCACTCCCATTTCCATTAGCCACTGATTTAGTCTATTTACTGTGAGTTCCAAGAGAGAACATCAGCTTAAATAGCTTAATTTAGTTGAGTTCTCCTACAACAAGGTAAAATTGCACATTTAAGGGGAAAAGAGAGGCATTTCTCTGAGTTTTATAAACCACGTAAGATTTCCAAAAGTTTGTTGGTCTCAATTATATTTCTTGCTGTGAATCAATAATGCAGTAGCCCGTTAGGATGATCACAATTGTTCATTTCCTGTCTATTTCCCACTGGATATGTTCCAAGTCTTATTCTTGTTGCCTTCTATTCTAGCTGGGTTTGAAATATGGAATGAGCTCCCTTCATCACTGATGGGGTTGCATTCTGTTGATTACATTTCATTCTAATAAAATCCACTAAATTACTTGCTTTAACATTTTATGCTAAGCAGTTTTAGTTAACAAATTAATAGAGGTATGAGAAACAATACCTTTAGTAGTCTAGAAAGAGTTTTTGAAATATGTCCACATATCTTGGTAGAAAAGAATTTGTCCTCCTTGCCTGGCATTATTCCCTCGTGATTCTGTGTTTCACTAGATTGAATCGTGGACCCTTTTTCCCATTTGGGAATATAAACCTCTCATTTTAGCTTTGGCTTTTTGCTGAGCACGATTATCAGGGAAGCTTGGACTGAGATTCTGCAAGAATTGCCACCAATGCCCATTTTCTCAGCAGGAGTCTTCAGTCCTGTTGGTCCTGAAATTGTCACTGGTGTTGATGTGTTAGATCCCTCACCTGTACAAGTCAGCCAAGGATCTGGTCTAAGGGTATTTCTGGGAAATGTAGATTCAGGGTAATAGATTCTTGTCTGGGGCTGAACCAGATAGGTTGTTAAAAGCAAGGCATCGTTTAAAAAAATAAAGACATTTAAAATCATCATCTAAATGATAAGATGAGAAAGGATTGTGAATTCTGGCAGGCTGAACATAAAATGACAATAAAAGTGACTGAAAGAGAGTGTGAAGAAAATGTGCAAAAGATGTTAAGTCTGTAATAAACCCACTTTAAAAAAAAAAAATCAGAACTAGGAAGTACCTGCAGGAAAGAAATCCCGATTACACATATACAGTAATAAACTTTGATCTGGGAATGACTTCTCAGGGAGGAAATCATGGTGTTGTAAAAGAAAATTTCATTAAAGCATCATCTCAGTATTCAGAAAGGGCAAAGACCAAGTGATTGAGTTACATTGTACACAAGAGACAGATTAACATGGCACAAATATTAAAAAGATCTGGTAAAATATTTCTTTTTGCTCTCTTAAAACATTTATTGACCTGTAACATGACTATTTCACTCAAATATATATCCTCTCTTATTTTTGACCTAAGAAAAATTGTGGTTTGCTTCCTAGTCATTTGAATTGGTAATGCTTTCTTTTTGCAGGGAAAGCCGGGATCTCCCGGGTCCCCAGGGATGCCAGGGGAACCCGTAAGTACAGATTTGAGTTCTGGACTCTTATGACAGTACACAGATAGTTCAAGCACCAAATGCAAGATTTTACATGCAGGTTTATATGTGTGTTTTCTTTTTTTTCTTAGGGTGAAAGAGGACCTATAGGAGATATAGGCTTCCCCGGGCCAGAAGGCCCACAAGGAAAACCAGTAAGCAATTTTATAGTGAATGTCTATATTCATTACAAAAGGTTGCATCTTAGTTTATCAGAAGTTACAAAAGAAATAGCATTACATCCTGCTTTGTGTCAGGCTAGGTAACATCTGAAGAACACCTAGAGCTACAGTGCTCAATATTAACCATCTAGTCAAGAATGTGATGTTTAATAGTTAACGTTACTGAGATGTTACCTTTAAAGGTTTTATGAGGGTCCTCTGGATCCTGTTGATATAAAGGATCCTCTAATATTTTTTCAGAAGGAGAATATTAACTCAGACACTCAACACAGTCTATAAAGGATGGGGTGACAAAATGCATTCTCGGTTTCAGTTTAGATAGAGAAGCGTGTGCTTCATGACTCTGAATAAACTTTGTAACTCTTCTGTATACAGGTGATGAACACTGCCGCTGAAGCATTTACTGTTCACTTAGGATATGTCTAATCTGACCTCTTTATTTAACAAAAGTGTGACAGCAGTGTAGTCAGCGCTGTCTGAGCTGGTTTAAAATAACCTAGTTTATATTCCAGAAGTGGTTCAGCTAGGGTAGCACAGAACTCATTATCTCCCCCTAAGCTTGGTGTTTCAGGGACAAGCGTGAGAAGCAAACCATTTCAGTTTGTTAGCACATCTCCACATTACGCTTCAGTCTTGAAAGAAGAGACAATTTCTGTAAGTGCAGCAGCAAATTGGCCCGAAGTACCTAATCTGTGCAAAACCCCACTTTGCAGTACGAAAAGGAAGGAAATATTCCTTGTGCCTTGCTCGTGGAAATCCTTCTTTGTCACTCAGCGAAATAGCAGCGAGTTTGCTGCATGTGCAGATTCATGTATATCCTAGTAAATTAAACAGTGCCAGAGCATTTATCAGAGCATTTATCTTGCAGTTATCTGGTGCAATTGTTAATGTACTCTCTGACGTTATTTTGGCCCACGCCAACTGGCACTCTCTGAGGCAATGCCATGTTCCAGTTTGGGGGATAATGTGCACCTGGGATGGCTTCTAGGAGGTGGTATGAATGAGACCACCCTCTTTTGGGAAGGAAAGGGCCCAGGAGGCTGAAGCTGTGCCGTGTCACAGGCCTAAGGATGAAGGAACGGACCTGGCCACTCGCTATTAAGGTGTAATCTCTGTAACAGCAAAGGGCTAATAGGGCATCAGTACTAATATCTAGAATAAGAGAAATCTCTTCTATGGTTGTATAATGACTAGCTGGGACTGAAAAAATGCATGTACAGGGCCATACTCCACATGCTTGCAGAATTCCCATATAACTTCTCATTTAAAGCTGCATGCTCATGAAAGTTGACACACATCTTGGTGCTGAAGATTCTTATATTTTTTTTGCACTGCTTTCAGCTTAAATGTACTGCACTTGCATTTCATTATGGCCCTGAGCTCTCTTGATTCACACGCTTCAAAACTATTTGTCTACCTAGACTTTAGTAAAGCTTTTGACACCATTTCCCACAGCATTCTCCTGAAGAAAATGGCTGCTCATGGATTGGATGGGCATATGCTTTGCTAGGTCAAAAACTAGCTGGATGGCCGGACCCAGAGAGTTGTAGTGAATGGAGTTAAACCCAGTTGGAAGCCAGTCACAAGTGGTGTTCCCCAGGGCTCAGTATTGGGGCCGGTTCTCTTTAATATCTTTATCAACGATCTGGACAAGGGGATCGAGTGCACCCTCAGTAAGTTTACAGATGACACCACATTGGGTGGGAGTGTTGATCTCCTTGAAGGTAGGATGGCTCTACAGAGGGATCTGGACAGGCTGGATTGATGGGCCGAGGCCAATGGTATGAGGTTCAACAAGGCCAAGTGCCAGGTCCTGCACTTGGGTCACAACAACCCCATGCAGCGCCACAGGCTTGGAGAAGAGTGGCTGGAAAACTGCCTGGCAGAAAAGGACCTGGGGGTGTTGGTCAACAGCTGGATGAATATGAGCCAGCAGCATGCCCAGGTGGCCAACAGCATCCTGGCCTGTCTCAGGAATAGTGTGACCAGCAGGACTAGGGAACTGATTATCCCCCTGTACTCGGCACTGGTGAGGCCCCACCTCAAGTACCCTGTTCAGTTTTGGGCCCCTCACTACAAGAAAGACATTGAGGTTCTGGAGTGGGTCCGAAGAAGACAACAAAGCTTGTGAGGAGTCTAGAGCACAAGGGTTATGAGGAGTGGCTGAGGAGTGGCTGAGGGAACTGGGGTTGTTCAGCCTGGAGAGAAGGAGGCTGAGGGGAGACCTTATTGCTCTCTACAACTACCTGAAAGGAGGTTGTAGCGAGGTGAGTGTTGGTCTCTTCTCCCAAGAAAAAAGTTATAGGACAAGAGGAAACAGCCTCAAGTTTCACCCGGGTAGGTTTAGGATGGATATTGGGAAAAAAATTTTCACCAACAGGATTGTCAAGCATTGGAACAGGCTGCCCAGGGAAGTGGTTGTCGCCATCCCTGGAGGTATTTAAAAGATGTCTAGACAGGGTGCTGAGGGACATGGTTTAGTGGTAACTTGGCAGTGTTAGGTTAATGGTTGGACTTGATGATCTTAAAGGTCTCTTCCAACCAAATTGATTCTATGATTCTATTTGTGAGTATTTCAGTATTTTAACCACACAAACTACTGCCTCTGCAGCTTCAGAATATGTATTGATACCAGCACTAAACTTTGAGCTTTACCCTTTATATTTTTAAAATGCTTATACGTTACCATAGTTATTTAAAAGATGTTTGTTTTTCTTGTAGGGAGTCAATGGAAAAGATGGATTGCCAGGTCCTCCGGTAAGAAAACATGCTTTTGCATACTAGTGTATTTTATTCTTCACAGATTCTATAGCTGTTAATCCTAGGCAGTTGCCTTCAGTTCTGCTAACAGATGAATGTACAACAAACACTTTAAGTGATATGTTTATCTTTTTTCAAAAACAATTTTTCAGGGTGCTGTGGGGAGACCAGGGGACCGAGGGCCCAAAGGAGAACGTGTAAGTCCCTTGTTTTAATAACTTTTTTCCTTTTACTGAGCATTTAAGCACCTCATTAGCGCACATTTTACAGGCAAAAGCAAGAAATTAATTTTCTGTGAACTTCAAGCAGTCTTTTAGATAACGAAGAGGTTTAGTCCTGGGCACTGCTTCACTACTTGAAGGAATTAGAATTTAATTGGCTTCTGCATTTAGAGGGAAAACACATTTTATAGACTTTCTAACAGAGTTGGCCTGGACAGTGTAAATTGATCAATAGGATGAAAATTAGAAAGTAGCTAATCCCATTGTGATGCTGTCAGACTTTACAAGAGCTAGAAAGCTTTCCTGGGATCTTTGTATGTCACAAACATAAATCATGTTTTATATAAAACAAGCTTGTTACACTTAGGCAGCAGTAATGCCAGTGCAGTACCTTACTGCTTGCCAAAATGTTTAGACAGTTCTGTTCATGGTAATGAGACCATGGTGGACAGGAATCATTACAGGAGGTGAGAGGTGATCGTTGCTTTGTTAGAGAAAACAAAATCCTACACATACCCTGCTTCTCTTATAATTTTACCAAAGCCCTGATGTCCCAATATGATTGATACCATGTTTATTTGATGAATCAGAAAAGCATCTCCCTGTGTAATCTGGAAAAGGAGATGCTGCTTTATGACCCTGAGGACACATGAGTTTTTCACCATTATTGCAATAGTTGTCCCTTACAGAAATTAATCGTTTGCAATGTTCTGTTCCTGCCTTTAAGGGCCCAAATAAAATGTAAGAACCTTCTTATTGTACCACCTACTGTGTACTGGGTTACATTGCTCAGCCTTGACCTTCTCAGTGGCAACCTGTTTGAATGACCTGTAAATAGTACTGTACACATACAACAAGAAAAAGAGGCTGGACCTGTAAATGCATGACCTTAAAACACACTGACCTCACCTAAAGGTTCATCCTTGAAAGGATTTGCCAGGTTTTGTGAACACTGTTTGCAACTGGCCAGACTGCGCAGCACCAGAGAACTTAAGTAGTGCTGAATGCGTTATGCTGAGAAGTTGCAATTCATTCACACCAATCTGTCCCTTTTAGCAGGGAGGAAAATGTTGGAAAAATCTGTGAGAGACAGAAAGCCTTAGCGCTCTTCATCAGAGTGAAACTTGGGAGGTTTCAGGGTAAAAGAAGAGAGTGTATTCATTGCAATTTCATCGGTGACAGAGTACATACATAGACTCATGTACATGTAGCTATAGATGTAAATATGGATATATGCTTGCTGTCAGAAAGGTCACAGATACCTGAATCTGCTCTCACTTTTGGGATCACTGGCAAACATGCCACAGTCTAGCTCTCTCTGTACAGAGTTAAAATTTAAAAAGCTATAAATACATCTATATAAAAGAAATATATAGATACATGTTAAAAAATGAATCAATTTCCAGAAGTATTTTTGTTTCAAGTGATAATCAAAATCTCTCACAACCTTTTAAAACAGGGAAGTTATAAATATGCCCAGTGCAGTATCTGAATACAGTTTTCAGACAGCTGTCAGTTGTTCCTTACAATTCTACAGGAAAAGAAAATGTTTGTAGATAACAAGGGGAGATCTGCCTAAGAAATCACTATGAAATACACAGCAGAAGTCTGCACCTTGGATAAGACATCAGTGAGGGAGTTGGAGTTGGTGGGTTTTTTTTCTCTGGATCAGGTATTACAGCTCTGCATCAGTGAGAGATTGCAATGATTACAGAAAATAACACAAAGTCAAGGTTTTCTTGCAGCCATTATTATTATTGCTGTACAGCATACTCCTTCAGTTTGAGAGCAGCTGTTGCAGTTATAGAAAAGAGAAGCATCAAAATTTGAAGGGCAGAACGAAACTCTTCAGGTTTTCATGTCTAATACACATATATACATGTATCTACATGTATATCCTTGTAGAATCCATTTTAAGAAGGAAGAGGTCATCTGGGCTGAAATAATCTTAGACATCCTTTGAATGACTAAACACTACTGTACTACTTTATAAACTGAGTGACAAACCAGTGGAAAACGTGGTTTATACCAATCAGAAATACTACTTTAAAGTCATTTCAACGACACGTTAAAGTACTGGTGGCTGGCTCATTTATTGCTATTATTTGCCTACCTTGATCACAGACTGGGAGCCCGTTGGACTACAGCATGCAGAAACCCAAGCAAAGCAATTGCTCCTTCTCCACATAATTTAGTGCAAGATTAAATGCAAGAGAGAGGAGAACACTAGAAAGGAGGAGGACTGAATAAATCAGCACAGTAGGCAGAGATTGCAAAATGTACTCTGGTTTTTGTACAATTCATAGTGAAGGAGAGCTTAAAGAGGAATCTCAAGGAATATACAACCTATTTTTTATGAATTTTACAAGGAGCTTCTTCCAAACAAAAAGAAAGCAATGGAGGCAGTTAAAAATGCTTGTTTGAAAAGTGGCTGTAGTATTTGATCTGCCTCCTGCACGTTGGCAGCCTGTAAAATGGGAATCACAAGAAAAGCAGTTGCAGGATCAGCTTCACACTGCCGTAGCACTGTGGTCTTCAAGAAACCTGCGGTTTTCTTTTAGCTATCAATACCTACTCTGCAGGGTTATAAACCTGAAAAATTATAGATGTATATTTATGCCTTAAATGTGTTTTTAATGAAGGCTTCGTGTAAGTACAATAATATTCAGACAGCATTTTTTATATATGGGGGTGCATGCATGTGTGTGCGGTCTCATTTGAAAGCACTGTCAGACAAAATGGTGTGTTCCGTGGCTCCCTATGCTGGATTTCAAGCTCCAAAAAAAGTGAGTAAACTAAAAATTATATTAAAGGCTAATATACCTCTTTCAAGTTTCATAGTAACATATGGTAGAACAGGAGTTGTTCTTCAATTTTATAATGTTTCAGGTTGCTATGAGTGAAATAGGAGATGGAGGTTGGATGCAAAAACTTTGTTAAGGCCAGAAAAGAGGCTCTTCCCTGCAGACTACAAAAGTTTTGCTTCTCAGTCAGAATCCTTCCTCTGCCCTGAGTTTCTCAAAGTGTTGCAATACACGTCCTAATACAGTAGCTATATGCAGGACAGAACACTTTTTCCTATAAATCTTAACATTTATAGAAACCTGAAAAGGTATGCCTCTTCCATCAGAATGTTGCCCTTCCAGTTCCCCCAATGCACATACGGTTCCTTTCCTTCTCCCATCGACTGTTGAAAATTTGAGACTTTTTGGCAAGGGTTACAAGTGTCTTTGGGGTATCTTATCCTATCTAGTCTTTTTTCTACTGAATAGCTAAACTCGCTGTGTATTTGTCAGAAATCATTCATATGCTGCATATTTAGGGTTTTGCCCAAAGTGTTGATGCTCAGAAGCTAAAACAGGAAATCAGGCATCTGCAATATTGGCAGGATAGGTCTTTTAAGAGAAACACAATAAACGTAATCACACCGAGATTGTTTCCACATCACACTGACTTCCCTGACTATGTGATCACGTTAGCAGTTTGACAGGTTGCACTGGGTTTCCGTGGCAAGGTGTTGGTAACTGGGGGGCTGTGGGGGTGGCCTCTGTGAGAAGACACCAGGAGCTGCCCCTATCTTGGCCAGAGTCAATTCCAGCTAGCTCCAAGACAGACCCGCTGCTAGCCAAAGCTGAGCCCATCAGTGACATCGGTACTGCCTGCCTGTGTAATAGAAAGGACAAAAAAATCTGTAAGAGAAGAGTGAGAAAATGTGAGAGAAACAAATATGTAGACAGCAAGGTCAGTGAAGGAGGGGAGGAGGTGCTCCAGGTGCCAGTGCAGAGATTCTCCTGCAGCCTGTAGAGAAGATCATGGTGAAGCAGGCTATACCCCTGCAGTCCATGGGGGTTAACGGTGGAGCAGATATTCATCCTTCAGCTCATGGAGGACCCCATGCTGGAGCAGGTAGATGTGCCCTGTAGGAAGCTGCAGCCCATGGAGAGCACACACTGGAGGAGGCTTCTGGCAGGACCTGCAGTCCATAGAGAGGAGCCCACACAGGGGCAGGTTTTCAGGCAGGAATTGTGTCCCCTGGGGGACCCACACTGGAGCAGTCTGTTCCTGAAGAACTGCAGCCCGTGGGAAGGACCCACACTGGAGCAGTTCATGAAGGACTGTATCACATGGGAAGGACCCCATGCTGGTGCAGGAGAAGAATGTGAGAAGGAAGGGGCAGGAGAGACGAAGTGTTAAGGACTGACTGCACCCCCCATTCCACATCCCCTTGCACTGCTTGGAGGGAGGAGGTAGAAGAGTGAGGAGTGAAGTTGAGCCCAGGAAGAAAGGGGGTGGGTCATGGAGGAGGTCTCACTATCCTGCTCTGTTATTAATTCGCAATAAATTAAATTAATCTTCCCCAACTTCAGTCTGTTTTCCCCTGATGGTAATCAGTGAGTGATATCCCTGTCCTTATCTTGACTCACAAGCTATTCATCTTGTTTTCTCCCCCTGTCTTGCTGAGGAGGAAGAGTGAGAGAGCGGCTGGGTGGGTACCTGGCAGGCAGCTATGGTCAACCCACCACAGAGGTTAAAATTATAGGTGTGAGATGACAAGGTCTCAGATTTTGACACTTGGGTTTTTGTCTTGTGGTAGACTTTCAGAGTTCAGAGCCTCTGCACTTCTACTGAGGGCAATTTAAGCTCCATTTGGGAATGCATTATGGTTTCAGATAAGGCAATAAAACATCACAAGTTACAGTGGTCTTTGTAGTGAAGCTTAATTATAGTCAGTAATAAGCTCTGGCTCACTGGAAATCGTACAGATTGGAGGACAGCTAGGTGATAAAAATGTTATACAGGCTCCTACTTGCATCCTTACCTTTCTTTCTTTCTTTTTCAATCTCTACATGTCATGTAAATATGACTTAAGAATATAACTGCACTTTTACTGTTTTATCAGTCAGTGATGTTTCAGATCTGAATACAGTTTACCAGCACTTAATTAAGAATGTAATTAATTCCATTCGTTCACCCCTCATAAATGTAGATTCTGGATTTATCTAGTAATGATGCAGTCAATTATTGGTGCTGTTTGCTTACGGTGGAGCCTAACATTAGCTTAAGTGATGCAGCAAGGGCAGTCAGTGACCCTCAAGAACTGCCAGCTGTTCATTAACAATCTGAATGTGTGACTTGCAGCACTTTGCTCCACAGCTGCAGTTCAGTGAACTAATAGCTAGTACATTAATACATTAAATTATTCTAGAAGATTGAAGTGCTCACAAATAAAACAAATTTAAATGCCATCTCAGCCCATGATGGAAGCCATTGCTGGCCAAAACACTGACCTTTAATTTATGTTGTTTGCAAGGAATTCACTCAATATAAACAGATTTGTGTACCTGTTGCTTCTTTGATTAAGCGAAATTTTGTGTACATGCAGAAATAAAATATTAGGCTTCTAGGGAAAGTTACAGAAAAAAGCCTGATGCCCTCTGCCTGGGGAAATTTGAGCACCTAAATTCTGCCTATGCCATATTTGACACTTCTAGATCCTTGTATAAGGGTTATAAACTTTCTGCACCCAAGTTCTGTCCTTGAAAAAATGGGTTACAGAGTCAAGCTATTTTTTTTTTTGTCATTCACTTCAACATTAAATGTGTAAGAGAACGAAACCTTACTTGCTGTGTTTTCAGAGCCAAGGGTTAGCCTGTAAAATGAGTTTCACTGCATGACTTATAAAATCTACTTCTGAACAGGGAAGAAGTTTCTCTTTAGCATTCTTGGGTGACTTTTCCTAATTTGTTCCACTGTGTGCCATGTTTTTCCTTCTGCTTTTATTTTACACAGGGAGATCAGGGTATTCCAGGGGACAAGGGTCCACAAGGTGAACGAGGGAGACCTGGCCCATCAGGAGAGAAGGGGGATGCGGGTCCTATTGGGCCACCAGGAGACAGAGGCTATCCAGGATCACCAGGTCATCAGGGTCCCCCAGGATCACCAGGACCCCCAGGGCTTCCGGTAAGAAAATACAAGTTTTCCTTGGTTGCTTGTTAAGTCAGAAGACATGAAGGTCACGTGTGCTAAGTGGTGGAAATTCAACCAAGCAATACCATAGTGTCAGAAAAACTAAGATAACTGAGATAATTTCAGTGTTCAGTTAACAGAGGAGGAAAAAATATAGCCAGGTGATCAAGCAGTTACTTTTTTTTATTCTTTAAACATGTGCTATGGGTAAACTTTAATTACTTATTTATTTAACTTCTGCAAAATTGATATGGCTCCTCAATACTGTTAATCTTCAAGTTTTTCCTAAACTTAGGAGCTAAAGTGTAAATGTTTGCAAATAAGAAAGAAAAGGAGGCACACAAAAATTATTCTCAATGAAAGAGAAATTAGCATTTTAAAAGACAAATTGGATGCTTCCTATCAGTTGTACATACCTTGGTTTGTCTCTGCATGTGCACACACACACATACATGTTGTGGGTTCTTTTTAATTAGTAAGACACCCTCAGTCAGGTGGGGTACAGCTCTAAAAACCTTTTCCAGTGAAGTTATTGGTCCTGTGATGCAGTTATATTTAGTTGGCTGCATCAGAACAGTTAGTCCCTAAAGGGGGTGAGAAGTTGGGAAATACTATGCAAAACATAAGTAAAGCATAGTGGTGTCACCGGACATCCTTGCTGTCTTATCCAAATTAATTTCAAAATGCATAATGTGCTGATCATCCTGAGAGTTGGGAGTGCCTCGTCCTCTCTATGGTATTAGTGGTCTTTACAATATTATAATGTATTTGCAATAGAGTGGCCTTTGCAGTTAAGTGAATGACACAAATATATTAAAATATTTAATTTTTCGGGAAAGCTTTACATCCTTGATGCTAAATTTCAGCATTTTTTTTTATTTTTTAGCATCATAAAATGTCCTGTTTATATTTCTTCTGATACATATCACCTTTTTGTTTCCTCATCAGGTTGATCCAGTTTCACTTGAAGAAATAAAAAAGTATATCAAACAAGAGGTTCTTAAGGTTTTTGAAGGTAAGAAATAGAAGTATTATACAACTCAATGCAGATCTTAAATTCTATTCTAAATGGTTTAGATCCCTATAGCCTTTATATACATTTCTTTACGTCGTCTAACTTACATTGGACTCAGTAGCTGCTTCGTAGCTGTGTCTAAGTGTTGTTTAAGTCTGCATAACATAATTATGTTCAAATAGTCATAAAATAAAATATCTGTTGAACAGAGTATTTCCTTATGTAAAATATTAGCATTAAAAGGTAGTTTGCTGCAAATCATAGTAGCAAACATGTTTGTATCCCTGTAGATACATATGTATCTGCAATAATAATATATGATACATGTATGTATCTACAATGTACGGCAAGGCATTGAAGATTTTTTCGAAGCAGAGACAATAGAAATATCTAATTATTTTGGCTGCTCAGTGGATGACTATCTAAATGAGAGACCGGCTTGGCAGCTTTCAGTCGTGCAGGTCTGAGCTGCTGTGCGTTTTCAGCAAACGTCCCCACTGAGCCCCAAAGCTCCCTTGCCGACCACCAACTTCTGGCACAGTTTTAGGCAAGTACCAGGTTCAGCCAAGGCCTTTGTGCTCTGTAAGCTTTCTGAGCTGTGTCCTTACTCTGAAAAGGCAGTATTTTTCTTCCCCAGCGTTTTCTTAGTCAGGGTTGAAAAGCTGTGACTCGGGTAGGTGTCTGAAACCTACGTCTGCTAGACTGCCTCTTTCCAGTAGCTTCTTTTGTGTCTGCAGTGTGCTTAGCTATTTTGTCATTAATATTTGTGGATACAAAGCCTTTTAAGTTTTAGGGATAAAAGAAACCATATAAAGTTTGAGACTTTAAGCTGGTCAGGCATTTTTTTCACTCGAGAGCAAGGATACCATTTTGTGTATTTCCACCCTTTCCCAGGCTGCTGCCCTTTAGGACTCCAACCTGCTGTGTATTTCAGGAGCAGTTTGTTGGCTGAAGTTACCTCCTTTTTCCATTCAAATGGAATGGTGACAAGTGTTTAGTCTATTCATAATAAGAAACTATTAAAAGGTCCTGCCTACAGGGAATATTGGGTTTTGTCTTCATAGCTATTCCATTTTCTACACCTCACTAGCGTTCCCACAGGTCTTCGATTTTTGGCTTTGTTTCACTTTGCCTGTTTTCTATCACCTTGCTTATTTTTGGTTTGATGCACACTCTTCTCTCTGTTTTTTTTCTTAAACCTTAAAACTCCACCACAGTAAATATCAGCTAAATTGTGGAATGGTTAGTTAAGTTTTTTAATCTGGTATAAATGAGACAGATTCAAGGTTAGTACCTATTCTGTCTACCTCTAAGGAACACTGAAATGTTACCAAGTGGCCTTAATTCCACCAGCATGAATAGTTCAGGCTGAAATCTCTGCAATTAATGTTTGCTGAGCACATATAGGTTTTTTCACAACTGTTTTCGGGGTTCCAGCACATTCCAAGAACTGTTTGCAGTATTTAAGCTCTACTTCGCAACTTAATATGAGTTACAAACACATAAGGTAGCCCTTCCCAGGGGTGTTAAGTACTAATTATTCCATGTTCATGTATTTTAAGTATTTCCATAAGCAGGAGTCAGAAGTATTTTGAAATATTGAAACACATTAGTAAAAGAGTAGTAGTAATAGAAACTTTAGTACAAATTCATCCCAATTATTTCAAAGGGTAAAGACTTAGACATGAGTCTGAGTTGGAACTGAAGACCTCAGTACTTATGGGAGCATTTAATACCTTGACATTTAGAAGGATTAAACACCTTACTTCCAGAAACTTACTTTAGCTGGGGCTTTGGGATTTATTTATTTTCATGTCTTTTGCTAGCAGGTTTCTTACTCCCTTTTTCTTGTACCCTTTGTTAATGAAGAAAGGATGGCCCAGTTTGTATCCCAGCTGAAGCTGCCTGCTGCGATGCTCGCCTCCCAAGCTCATGGAAAACCAGGGCCCCCAGGAAAAGATGGGTTACCAGGGCCACCAGGAAAGGATGGTTTGCCAGGGCCACCAGGAGAACGTGGAGTTCAAGGTAGGAATTCCAAAAAATGTTCCCATGAATTGTATCTTAAAATATTTATACACTTGCTAATGATTATTAAATAAGCCAGGATTACCTATCTAGCTTCCTAATGATTAACTTTTAAAACTGTACTTATGTTTTTCCAGACTAGATCTAAATATTAACCCATAGTAAATGTGTGGACTTTAATGATTAAAAACTCCTAATCAGTGCATTCTAATAAATGATAAAGTTAATTACTGACAGATGTCTAAAGCTGACAGATATCTAGGCTACTGTAGCAGTTATTTTTTTCTCCAAATAGTTTAACAAGGCAGAAAACCAATGCCGGCGCTCTATGTAACTATTTAGATCCTGTTCCATATTGAGAGACCGTCTTATTTAAGTAACAAAATTTTATCTCCAAGTGTGAGTGCTCTCAGCTCTGATCCTGAGGCAACACAGGGGAGGAAAAACTGAAGGCAAATACTGTTCTTTAAGAAGCAGTGAAAACTGAAATGTTACTGTATGAATCCTTCTTACAGTGAAGTAATCTATTTTCACAAATCAGTTTCAGAGTAATCAGCTTTTCACTATAACCCACACAGTGATTTGTACGTTGCCCTGCATTCGGACAGTGTAGGACTCTCTTTCCACTGAACTGTCTTTTACTGCAAACCATTGTGGCTGGGCTCTACTGTAGAGTCAGCCTGTCAGAGATTAAAAGGAAGAGGAGAACAGAATAAAAGGAAAAAAGAATTTATCAATGAATAATATTTTGTGGGTAATATGTAATTTGCAGCTTATCTGTAGGTAGTTCTTTATTATCTTTTGTTAGTTTGGTCTGCTCTGGAGTCAGAGCAAGTCAGACTGGAATGAAGAACATGAGAGCAAAGCTGAAGATGTGTGGATCCTAAAGCTATCAGAAGAATAAAGACTTACTAACATTGATAAGCGCAAACCTCTGACAGAAGCTTGAAAAATGTGATGAGCTCAGAATGAGAAGAACAAGAATAAAGGATCAAGGAAAACAATTAAAGGCTTAGAATCTTACAGCACTGACTTCATCATTACCTAAATATTCAGATCACTGTAAACAGTCAACTTCAGTGATGATGTATGTGGTGGTTAGCCTCAGATGCTTCTGGGATGAGGAACGTTGTACTAGGCTTCATTTCCAGCTAGTGAGCATCAAGAGTAAAGATGATAGATATGCTTGAAAAAAAAAAAAAAATAAAGCTGCTTTTTCATGCCTTATGCTTAAGTAAAAATAGTGCCCCGTGTACGCAGGATTTCCATTTATTTTACCGATATGCTCAATACTCATTTTTGATTAGTAAAAGTTAAGCTAAGTGAGAAGCTTTTACTTCTCTGATAACATCAAAACATATATAAAATTTTACTTCCAAGGAAAGAAAACCAAAAATTTGTCTTGCCTCCTTCTTACACTCCGAGTAAGAGAGGGTACAGTGAGAGAAGCACACTTACAAATACCGTTTATGCCTTTCCCAGTTGTGCCTGTGCGTGTTATTGTTTTGTGCCAATAGTAGAAAGAAATACAAATCTCTGAGCAGACTGAAAAATATCCTTCCATATTCCAGCTTATTTTCAGCCATAAAAGACATAGCGGACAAGACCTCTTGGAGAAGCATGTTACGTGCATGTGTCGCTGAGACCATCAAGGTAGCATACCATGTGCCCATCTGCCTGAGTCGTAATACGCATTTGGTATTGACTGCCAGATATTCCGTATTATATTTCTTACTTGATTGTAGCCCAGACTGCCAGCTCCAGGGTTTTGATCAGGTTTTGCTGTGTGCAGTAATACGCATCTGGGCTGGCAGAGGAAGTTCGTCACTTGTCCCACACAGCCGATGGAAAAAAGCAGATACTTCTGGAGAGCAATTAACAGGACTTCTACGAGCACCTCCAGAGCAGTTTGCAATGCTGCACGCTGAGCAGAGAGCCTGCTAGAACCAGCCAACAGGAAGGGCAGGTATCACCGTGTGTCCAAGGAGGTACTTAACTTGCAGCTTTGCCGGCGTCCCTCCGTACACATCAAGTGTGGTGCCAGTTCCCCTGGGAACTGGCCTGGCCTGGCTGGATTCCACCAGAGCATCCTTCTGCAGAGCAAACCGATAGGTAGGGGGTTCATCCCAGAAGCAGAAAACATAGATAGTAAGTCTTGGAAGTGTAGGCGTGGTCTTCAAAAAGTGTATTTAAGAAACTGCTAGGCTCTTGGGAATAGAGTCAATCATTTCTACTGAAGTCCAGAACGTTACCTGCTGGCCTTCAGCAAGGTTGTTCATACTCAGGTACTTCCCAGATACAAATAATTTTGATTTTATATGGTAGTCTTTGTAAAAATATAGCACGCAAGCAAAAAACAACAGAGTTGCAACATAAATGATGAAATATGCAATTGCCATTTAAATAGACTTGATATAATAGTGACTGGAAGATTTATATATATATATATTTCTTCTTTAAAAAATAACCTCTGGCATATGCATCAGCAAGCTGATACTGTGAGACAGTGTTACCAGTGAGGTGTACAGCATGTGCTTAAGGGGGAGCAGAGGGACTTGTTTACTCTGTGTGTATTTTAAAGGACGCTAATGTCTTGCAGAGAAACAGGAAGATTATTTCAAGACTTTATAGACAAGATATAGCAACGTCATCCATTTGCAAACAGTCAGCCAGCTTGTTACATGTTAGAGGTTCTAGCTCAATTAACTCCACTGACTTAAATGGATTTAAAATTATAATAGAAAGTAAATTTTGGGCTTTAGAACAAATTCACCTTGGAATATTACCCTTTACGTTAATATGACTATTGATTTTTTTTCTCGATAGACAAAAGAAGGTTTCATCTGAGTTAAACTTCTTTGTTTCTGTCAAATTAAGGAAACATAAGAGTTTTTTATAGGTCCTCATAACTCATGGTAGCCCAGAGGAATCAAACATCACAGCTCAGGGAAGAAAAATACCGTGTGATGAATAGTCAAAATTCCTTATCTTTATTGCTGATCTCTGTTGTAAAATGTATATGTCTTACTATAATTATTACTTTGCATGGTGGGAGAATCTAGAAACCTTGGCTGACATCAGCAACCTGTTGCAATGGATGTTGTCCTGACACAGTGACTCCACTGAAATAGCTGCACTGGTTTCAAATGTTACCTCCTATAAACTGTTCCTTGCTCTTAGCACCCTTCCGTTGCTTTGCAGTTGTTTGTGCGTAAGAACTCAGAGTATTTGCACAGTAAAACACAGTGGATACTTCGGTCTCATTGTTCCCTGTCGTGGTAACGTGTTTGCCTCATATTTGTGTTTAAGAACCTCAGATTTCTCAAAGATACTTGACATGCTAGTTTCAGGTGCTGCATTATCCATGCGGATGGATGAGGGTCTCCACAATATAGGTGGAATATCTTTTGGAGCTGTTTAAATGAGAGAACTTTTTACCTCCAAGTTCATAGATGTGAACTTGTGTCATTGCCAAGTAGAGCTGAGGGTGTTGCAGTAGCAATGCTTCTGACCGTGATGGTTGTGGAGAACATCAAACCGGGAGGTGTATTTTAGCTATCATCACTTATCTATAAGCAGAAGAAAGCTTATCCCTTCGAACACATACTTGCTACATACTGCTGCCAAGTGTTTACTGTCCTACCCACGTTGGGTACATGTTTACATACCACAACTTCGGGGTTGCAGGAATTACAACAAAACTTCTGGAACCCAAATGAAAGGCTTTGCTAAAGCAGTCGCCTTTTGAATTAAGCAGGTACCTCTTACTGGAATTGTAATTCTACCAGTAGAAATAGCATCTTATATGTGCCTTATGTTAAAAACAATAAATCAAAATCTGATTTAAGCGTGTGGTAATATTTTCATTTGACTGTGTATGAGTTTGTCACTTTAAGCTCAGAAAAAAGGTGGTATTATCCTCTAGAAGTGTAATCATGCTCCTACTTCTGAGCAGAATATACCTCATTAAAAATCAAGTATTTTCCTGCTAGAATTACACATTACATTCTTCCAATTGTTTACATATAGGCCTGTTTACTAATATGCTTACACCCTGTGAAATAAAGCCTTATTTTTAGAAAAGATACCTGGGAAATTTTTGTATTAAACTTCAGTGTCAACAGAACGCACCTGCCACTGTGTACAAATTACGCCTTTGCATGTGTATTCAGATACAGCCAGTAATGGTTTACTCTACCCTGGATCATACATTTGCATTGGCAGGCTGCTCCTTGTGCTGTTGTGGGGTTTTTTTTCCTTATTGTCTTGGATTCCGGTGACATGTACAGAATCTTTCAGTCAATCTTGGTCCCTTTTCAAGTATAATGTCTTGGATACCTACAGTGATGGTTATCACGGAGCTTGTAAATGTGATATGTCGTAAATGTGATTTCTCTCTTTTCTAAAGAACTAAAGAAATGCAAAACAAATTATTAGTGGCAGCACTACTTTGTAAAATTACAATTAACTGGGTTTGTAGTGAGAAATGTACTGTAACTATCTATTGTAAATTAAGAAACATAGAGATATATATAATAAATAGGAAATGTAATAGATTCTGTCGTTGTGTGATTGAGCTTCTCAAACAGTAGCAACTACTATGCGTTACACAAGATTTTCAGAGCCAACCAAATTGCTGTAGTTATAAATACTACCACGGTCATTAAAGAGCAAAATCAAGATTCATAATTGAATACAAACACCTGCCTATTCCCTTTTCTGAGTCTTTACAGCCTGTGTGCATATATGTCTTGTACAATTCTGCTTAACACAACTCAGTGACCAGAATGCATGATTAATACTAAGTTTGTTTCTCTGTGATCTTTTAAACAGTTGATTTCCTTTTGTTATGTTATGCATGTCACTCTGCATGCATTTTCTAATGTTTTTTGCTTCACTGTAATCTCCTTGTTGGGGTGCTGAGACAAGAGTAAGGTAATTGATGCTCTGTTTTGGAACCTAGAATGATTGCAACAGACTTTCTACCGAAGTGTATAATGAGCTTGTGTT